GTGCCGTTACAAATGCACATCATCGGGGTCTTGGGAAGGCTCCCGGTGCAAAGTGCCCCCGGTGCCCTCCCCTGTCCGTGGGACCGGCTGTGGCTTAAGCTGCATAAGCAGAACCTGTGTCCGCGGCAGGGAGGAAAGAGGCGATGGCTAGATTACTGCCTGGCTCCCCAAAACACGACTTAGGGATACATTTTCACAACGAACACCGGCCCTTTCCCCACTGCTTGCCACACACAGGGCTGTCACTTGCACCACCTCCCTCCCATCACAGTGGGACAGGACCACCTCCCGACCCTGCCCTTTGCCTCTGTGTCTTCTGTGCGCAGGCACCGACCTCCCCTAACTGCCCACGTGCACCTGAACAGCGATGACGGGCTGCAGGGCGTCACTGTTTCCATACTCTTAATTCCTTCCCAAGACACCTCCAGCTCACGGCGGGTACCTTTGCCAAGTCATCTCAGCCTCAGTCACCATCACGCTGGGGTCTTTTTCAGTATAAAATGTCTCATCCACCTAAAATAAAGCTCTTGATAAGATTAGTCTTATAAACTGTGTGGATGCTGAGGCGGTACGCTCCAGATTGGCCCACAGTAACAGAGTGTCAGGATCTCAGGAAACGGCTTCTGCACGCCCCCCGTGCCTTTGTCTTGGTTGCAGAGCAGAGGCAAGCACGAGGCCCACGGTTTGACGGACATGACCCCCCCCCCCATCCTTGAGAAACCACTGTGAAAACAGAGGTGACATCATTTTGTGAAGGACACAGCGTTCTTCCACTCACACAGGCCATGAAAAATAGGTGGCAAAATCAAACACGTGAGGCACAATTTATGTCATAAATGTACGGCAAATTTGAACCACTGGCAGTTAGTCAGGTTGTTGGCTTCTGGTTTGCGGGGACCGGTTGTCCCTGCAGTGCTGTGGCTTAGGCCATAGGGTAGTTCATGTCGCGTGACTGATCTGACACTGAGCCCCGGTAAAGGCATTCCAGCCTGCAATACCCTCTTCCTTTACTCCGACGCTGTTCGGATTTCTTCGCGTCTCCCTGCTGAGGCAACCAGGAATTACAGGTTCATGCGAGTTCATCTGTACAAAGCCACAGAACACCTCCTTTCTCATGCAGGAACCTAGCAGATACAGTCCGCTATTGGCAGGGATCGCTAATGTGATGCAGGAAGACTCATCCTCGAACAGTTTTCCGCTCCTCGTCCTGGAAGAAAAGTTTATGCTTGCAGTGTTGTCCAAGGACAAAACCAATACAGAAGTTCAGGAACAGAATTTTTTGTACCCAAATGGAAGCTGCATCTTCTTAGTGCGATCTCTCAGCCATGGCATCAGTTGAGGCAGGTACCGAGAGGTAACCCTCATTTCAGACCGCAGGGTTGAAACCGGGAAGACCAGTCGAGAGAACGAGAACTAGACCCTGATGGAAGCGGGACAAAACCCGCCTTCGGGCGACCGTTACCGCCGCGACGCGGCCCGCGGGCGCCATCTTGTGGGCAGGCGGCCATTAGCCGCGGGCGCGCCGGTCACGTCCCCCTTCTCCTGAGGGGGCTCCCGGGCGGCCGGGCCGATCGGTACGGCCGGCGCTGCGGAGCGCGCGGGCCCCGCCGGTCGGAGCGGCGGCGGCTGCCGGCCCCAGGGTGCCCTGAGGGGGCTCATGTCGGGGGCGCTGGCGGCTGTTTCCAGCACAGCGCCCAACAGTGACCTGAGTGCACGAGTTGTGGGGGCGTGACGGCTCCGAGGCTTTCAGAATTCCCTTGTTTCCCCTTTCTCTCCGAGCACTTGATTTACGGATGAAAGACTTCGCAACTCAGGGTTGTAAAGCAGGTATGCTTATTCGGCGCCGGGCGCACGGCGGAACGCTCCCCCGCAACAAGCGTGCGCGCCCCCCTGCCGTTCTAGTCTTGCTTATATGTTACAGTGTGTTGCGTATTCATGAGACGCGTATACATATTCATAACCTATTCCCGCCTACCCTCGCTTCTTATTATAATTAGGTCTCCTCCTCCTTGCGGCTGCGCAGTGAGCTCCTTTGGTCCGGGGCAGGGGTCGTGAAGAGCTGGGCAGTGGTCGGGGCAGGAAGTATCTCCTCTACCTCACTGCTGGACTTTTCATCCTGAATTCCTGCGCAGTCTCTGTCGCCTCCTGGACCCGGGCTAAACCGCAGAGCGGGTTTGTGCCGGTTGGGAGGTGATATTTTGCTTGTTGTCCTTTCAGTGCTGTGTCTTAGGCCATAGTTTAATGGCATGTTGCATGACTGATCTGACGCAGGAACCTAGCAGATAAACTGTGCTATCGGCAGGGATCGCCAACGTGATCCAGGAAGGCTCATCCTTGGGCTTTTTTCCGTTCCTCATCCCGGAAGAAAAGTTTATGCTAGCAATGTTGTCAAAGGGCAAAATCTTTTTAATGTGATCTCTCAGCCATGGCATCAGTTGAGGCACGTGCCAAGAGGTAACCGTCATTTCAGACCGCAGGGTTGAAACTGGGAAGACCAGTCGAGAGAACAAGAACGAGACCCTGATGGAAGTGGGACAAAGCCTGCCTTTGTGCGACCGTGGCCGCTGCGCCCCAGCCTGCAGGCGCCATTTTCTGGGCAGGCGGCCATTAGCTGCGGGCGAGCTGGTCACGTCCCCCTTCTCCTGAGGGGGGTCCCGGGCGGCTGAGGCCTGCGGGAGCGTGGGGCGCGGCTGGTGAGCTCCCAGCCCCGCTCTGCAGACGGTGCCTGTGTTGGTAGCAGCAGGTTCGTTGTGTCAGCGCTGCGCTGAGGGTGCCCGAGGATCCCGCCTGTCCCCGCGGCGCTGGGTGGCGGTGGTTCCGCCTGCTCTCCAGGGGTGCACGGCCTCGAGGGGCCACAAATCCCCAGCCAGGACCCGCCGCGTCCCAGGGTCTGGTGGGACACAGCGGCTGTGAGGCTGCCGCACGTCCAGGGACAGCATGGTGTGGTGTTCTTGGGAAGATGCGCATTGCAGCGCCTACCTACTGCTTGCTGCAGGCGTTGCCCCGGCTGGCCGTCGGCAGCTGTCAGGCAGCCTGTTCCTCATCGCAGAGCGTGCTTCGGTGGGAGGCCGGGACGAAGGCAAACGCCGGTTAACGGACGAGCTCAAACGTAAGGACGTAATCGTATGTCACCACAGGAAGAAATGCATCAGTGAAGCTGTGGTAGTGATACAGGGCCTAGATAGGAACAGGGGATGTAAGGGTTAATATGGGAATAGCAAGAAGGGGATGACAAGGGAAATAGTCGAGATAAGAGTTTTTAGATCGTACAAGATAGATAGTGCTGTGTTTGTGTTGCTCGACCACTATCTCCTGTTTAAGTAAAAAGCCTCCTCCACCCCTGAGTAAGTGAAGATTACCCCACAACCGGCACAAACCTGCTCTGCGGGTCCAGGGGATGACAGAGACTGCGCAGGAATTCGGGGTGAAAAGTTCAGCACTAAGGAAGAGGAGATACTTCCTCCCACGACCACCGCCCAGTCCTTCACGACCCCTGCCCAGGATCAAAGGAACTCACTGCGCAGACTCAACTGGGAGGAGATCATGGAAATGCTAATTTTAATACGAAGAGGGGATAGGTGATGCATATGTATAGGCGTATTGCGAAATATTATGAATATGTAATCATTTGCTCTATAAATCTAAGGCAACGGTGCCACATGGCAGCACACACATTAGGAGGAGCGATCCCCTGTGTGCCCAGTGCTGAATAAACTTACCTACTTTACAATCTATCAGATTGTGGAGTCTGTTTTCCGCAATTCAGTAGGGACGCAGCGATGCGTTTGAAGTCCTCTACATCTGCGCTGAGGTGAATTTCATGTGTTTTCGTTGTTTTTTTAGTTTTTAGTTTTTGGTGGTGTTTTTTTGGTTTTTTTAACAAGTAATTTAATGTCTGTTTCTCTCCCTTAGATATGGACCTAACTTGCAAAGCAAATGTGGAAAATGTCTGCAAGCATGGGACTGAAAGAGATGACACTTGGGGAGGGAAGTCTGTGAGACGGTCAGTTTGCTGCTGCTGCCACTGATGGGGAGGTGAGGGCAGGGAAAAGCTGCTGCTGTTGGATGGGGGAACCTTTTCAACAGCAGTGCTTTGTGCGTGCTCTGACCTTCTCTCAGTGGTAACGTGATGGCTGGGTTTCTTTTGCAGCCTCTTGAGGGTCGTGGTACCATCTCAGAGCAACGACCCAAGGAGGCAGCTGACTTCTGTCAAAGTCCCTGTTCTCTGTTGACCAAAGGCATTGCACCGGCTGGTGAGATTTCTTCTTCCCCCTTCCTCTTCCCTTTCCCTGCTTCCCAGGGGAATCGGATGATTAAGTGATGGAGACTTAAGTAATAGCAACGATCATCAGCAAGACTCAGAAAGAGAACTGCAGTGCAAAACAAACAAACTTTCAGCAGGAACCCATTTTTAATATACTCTGCAGCACGTTTAATAATGTAATTCTCCAGTGCATCTGCATGTTTCACTATACTTGTGAAGGAGAAGAAACACTGGCTCATGCAAAATTGCTCTGAAGCATTCATTGATACACCGAAAATTCAGCAGGCCTACACCAAGTTATGATGTTGGGCTTTTTATGGGTAATTTGATGCAAAGGAGAAACTTTTTTCTTTCATGCGTGCAGATTTTGTCGAAGGTGGTGACTCTTGGTTTTGTGAAGATAAACTTCTTGCCTTTTCGAGCATAGACGCGCCTCTGACCTTATCTCCAGAATAGCAATAGAATTTATTAACACGATGTGGGGCCCCATGTGAACTGGAATACCTTTGCTTCACTTGCTTCGGTTTTGTGTCTTTGCTCATTTCTAAAGGGGGGAAAATAACAATTTTCTGATAGTTTTGTCTGTTGCTTCCGGTCTTGTGAAACTAATGGTAAAATATTCGAAGTGTTAATCTTTAGGTGCATTTTTTTTTTCTACAGTCTGCCAAATTCTGTTAGCTAAAACACGGCCAAAAAGTCACACTAAGCATGAGAAAAGACAATGGAGTAACCTTTGCCAGCTGCTGTATAGAACACCAACTTTTGTACAGCTTGGAGAAAAAATGGAGTATCAACTCCCTGGGAGAAGAAAAAAAGGAGCATTTGATGCTTTGATGGTGAGAGAGGAGCTATGAACAATCTCTCATTTCAGTTAAAAATTGTTTATACTCCTGATTTACTCGCTGGAGATACCACAGTATCACTAACAACTCTTTGGTACCGTTTGTGACAACTGATAATTGAACTGCTTTAAAATGGGAGTGACAGTTCATCTCAGCCGTGACACAGAGCAGGCTGTGGTGTTCTCTGCAGCAAGGAGCCGCTGCATGGGCAAGGGAGAACTGTTGAAGCTGCTTCTCCTCAACTTCCACTGGCAGACAGGGATGTCGCCAGAAATCAGCAAAACCAGGGCCGGGCCAGCAGCTGGGGCAAGTGCAGGCTCCAAGGGCACTTGGAGGCCCTTGTTAGTAACCTGAGAGTAAAAGAATAAAGAAACCTCTGACAACTGCAGGAAAAGTCTTAGTCTCTCATGACTGCAAGCAGTGCAGCTGGCGTCGCTATTGCTGCCACCCGTCACGGTTTCTCCTCCTTCTCCTGGTGCTCTACTCACCTTTCCCCTCGTGTTTCCATTGCTTGTGTCCCTCTCCCGTCTACAGTTATCCCACCATCTTTCTTTCCTGCTTTCTTAAATGGTACTGTTTTCTTCTATTATTCTCATAGTGTTCTGTCTCTTGTTGTTTTAGAGGGATTCTGTTATATTTCCAGAGAGCTTCCTTCCTCTCCAGGTACTTAATGCAGATGCCACTTTTGGCTTGGACACATCCTCTAGCTTTTCATATTGTCTCAGCAGAGCAGCCATGGGACGAGCTGAATGATGCTGGTTTGATGCTTGTGTCAGTCTCCGCAAGCTCTGCTTAAAACCACATGAACTCCTTGCAAGCACAGAAAACCCGTGTGTAGGCCATAAGTAGGTGTAACACAGGCGTTATCTCCCTTTGTTTAAAAACAAGGTATTGATGACTTGCCTTAAAGAGTGACCTGTGTGAACCGACTCTACTTAGGTGAAGTTCACTTTGCACTATTAATGTTCCCAGTATTTGTAAGGCTTTTTAAATTGTAACTTTATTATATAAATGGTCTCACAGAAATTCCAAAGCAGTACAGGCTCATGTTTAAAATTATCGGACCTCAACTCCCCATACCTTGTTCTTTCTGCTGTCTCACTACATTATTCACATGGAATAGTATTCACTTCCCAGGAATTACTTTTGGAATAAACTAACAGTATGCCAACAGGGCTCGTAGAAATACCTGTAAGAACTAATTTTTCATAGTCTTTACTCTTCCCGAATATTGATTCAGTGATATTTTCCATCATTCTGCTTACCCAAATGGTGCTGAGGAGCAAAGACTGTGGAAATAGTTTCTTACGCTCTGCTGGGCTCAAACTGACAGGGTTTGATAAGGGGTAGAAGGAGGAAGGGACGTCAAAGGAAGCTGAAGCTGAGACGGATCATGGTGTACAGAACTAAGGTAATGCATCCAGAGTAGCCCAAATATGTAGCAAGCACTGTGTCTTCTGAGTCTCAGTCCAAAACTTCAACTAGAAAATTAACCTTTGCATTTTCAGTGGAGGCAGAACCCAGCTTTTATAGAGACAAAGAAATTGTGAGAAATGAACTGTTTTCATTCCCCTCAAAGTTACCTTGGAACTTGTATCAGTGTTGCAGCATATATGAATGGGATTAATACAAATATACCAGAAACGAATAAGGGAGAAAAGGCTGGGGGGGAGGAACTGTTTTGTTGTGTGTGTTGTTTGTTTTGTTTTGTTTTGGTTTGTTTTGTTTTGTTTTACCAAGGCTTTTGTTGAATACTTTTGTTCAAGAACTTAGAAAAGATTAAAAAAATAACGTCTTTTGGATTATCAAAGTGTGGGAATGGAGCTGCTTTTACATCCAGAGCTGTTTAAGAGTTTGCTTTTACCTGGCATCATGCCTTTGAGCATTTGCATAAGACTTTGATCTAAGTGTCTGGACAGGGCACAGTGGACGGCTGCCTGGACATTATCATTAAGTATTCTGTATTTGTTCTCTCAGCTGCTTGTTTTGCATTCTAACACACTGTTATTTTTCACACAGTTCCCATCCCCCAGGCAGACACTGGCACAGGGGAATCCTTCCTGCAAGTATCACTGAGCAAAGGTTTCTAAGAGCAAAAGCAAACATTTATTTGACACTTTCTGTAAAACTGCATTTGCACACTTCTTTGCAAAACAGTTTCCTTATGCTGCCAACTCCACCAAGTAAAAATGTTTATTTTGAAATTCACTTCATAACTTTCTCTCAGAGATTTAATTAGAGAAAATGGTATCAAGAGGTCTGCACCGATCCCAGGATAAGATGATTTTTAACTGGGGAGCTGTTGTGGAAGTTTTCCTTTGCCAGCTTCCCTGAGTTCCTTGCAGACTCTGTCCTCCAGCATCTAGCAGCCTGTAGACAGAAACGAATACTTCTGGAGAAAGTAAAAGCTATTAGCAAATTACTGGAACATTAGCCAAGTTACAGAATTCACAATCAGTTACATTTGTGCTTTCTCTTCTGAGTGCTGGGAGGCGTGTGGAGGTCTTGATAACAAATGTGAGGCTGTTTCAAAGAGATTACTCGGAATAAAGAAGTGTCAGTGGCAGAATACTTCCAAGGAGAATATATATCTCCTTGATACAAGAAGTGAGATGTCAGAAATAGACACGGCAAAGTATGACAAATTGAAACGCATGAGATTAAATGAGTGATGAAATGAGTAAATTTTCTCCATTAGCTTGCCTATTTAGGAAGGACACACCTAAGTAAGAAATAAACTGCCAAGCCACAGTACTGTAAAAATGTGAATGCCTGTGCCAGGGATGTGTGTCACCTTATGCCAAATTAGATGTATGAGCAATAAGTAGGGCAGGGGCAGATTAGCAGAACAGGCAGAGAAAGCAGCTCTCGTTTTCCTTTCTCGCAGGGAGGCTCATATTGCATATGCTAGCAGGTGAAACTGATATCATAATACAAGCAGACACACGCTGCAAAAGAGAAATCTAGCCACAAATAATTAAGTCATTTAATTATCCTTTTTTTTTTTTTTTTTTTTTTTTTTTAATTTTTAGATGACACTACCTTGCAGTATTTTGACCTGGCATGGGTCAAAACAAGCAAAAGAAATTGGAGCAGAGTTGAATGGAAAAGTTGCTTCTGATGTTCTGACTGAGGGGTTTCCAAAGCCCTCAGCATCTTTCTGATGACAGCAGTGGTGGATGCTGCCTGACTGAGTTACCTGTGGCAAACTGAAGTTTGAATGAGGATTAAGCAGAATAGTAACGTGCTTCGAAGGAGAAAGCTTTGGAAGAAAATTGCCCATGAAAGAGATCTAGAACAAACAGGAAACAGTGGGAACCCTGCGGGGCTGGTACTCTCTACCCTCCGGCCCGTGTTTTTATAAAAACTGAAATGCCTGTGAAGGTAATTCTTAGTATTTTAGCCGTTACTGGCCAAGTGGGTAAAAGGAAGTCCTGTGGCAAGGCTACAGCAGTAGGCAAAGGCATCTTTGTCCTCTCCTGAGAGCCAGCCAAACAAGTCGCTTCAGTCGTCACCACTACCTTACATCTCCCAGTGACTCAGTCTCTTAAAGGAGAACAATATTATCAGCTCAGAGCAGGTGAGATTTACAAAGCATTATTGTACTGCTCTCAGCCTGTGCTGTAGGAAACAACAGCATTTCGGGCTGGGGCTGTATTACCACATTAGCTGAAGGTTTGACTCGGGGTCTCAGCTCAACCCCACTCCTTACACTTTGCTTTAGCACTAGTCTGGCACAGGCAGCTGGCTTCAGGCCTGAGGTTTGTCTCACCTTTGAGCTGCACAAAGCGGGTGAAGGCATGGATGCTGACAGTCAGCCCAAGGGCAGGTTTTCTTTTTAAATGCTCCTCTCGGATACTTTGGAGGAAGGAGCTTCCATCAAGCCAAGTTTATTAAACTTTAGAAAGCACGGAGAAGTCTTTGAAACGGAAGAAGTTCTACTAATCTGGTAAATGAGTGTTATTATTTCCACACTTCTGATCACTGGGAGTTTATAAAAAATCAGATAGGTGTGGTCCTGCTTTGGAAGGGAAGAGGATGCAGGAAGAACAGCATTGCACAGCGGCATGCCATTTTCACAGTCATTTAATGAAGAGCATGGTTACCACGTTGGGTTGCTAACAGAGGATCATAACTCCTTTCATTTTCATGTTTTGGTGGCTTGGGCATGTCTCTACAAATGAGAAAGCCACCCGTGCCCTGGGCTGCAGCCAGAGCAGGGGGGGCAGCAGGGCCAGGGAGGGGATTCTCCCCCTCTGCTCCGCTCTGGGGAGACCCCCCTGCAGTGCTGGGGCCAGCTCGGGGGCCCCCAACAGCAGAAGGACCCGGAGCTGCTCGAGCGGGGCCAGAGGAGGCCACGGAGATGCTGGGGGAGCTGGAGCAGCTCCCCTGGGGGGCCGGGCTGAGAGAGTTGGGGGGGGTCAGCCTGGAGAAGAGAAGGCTCCGGGGGGACCCTGAGAGTGGCCTCCCAGGGCTTAAAGGGGGGACAGGGAAGAGGGGGAGGGACTCTGGATCAGGGGGTGTGGGAATAGGATAAGGGCTAACAGTTTTAAACTGAAAGAGGGCAGATTTAGGTGAGATGTAAGGCAGAAATTGTTCCCTGTGGGGGGGGTGAGGCGCTGGCCCAGGGTGCCCAGAGCAGCTGTGGCTGCCCCCTCCCTGGAAGGGTTCAAGGCCAGGTTGGACGGGGCTGGGAGCCCCCTGGGCTGGGGGAAGGGGGCCCTGCCTGGGGCAGGGGTGTGGGACTAGGTGATCTTTAAGGTCCCTTCCAACCCAAACCATTCTATGATTCTACAAAAGGAAAACAAGGGGCACACCTCCTCGGATATCAGGTGTGGTTTTTACTAGCGGGTTACACAAAGTTCCCACAGACAAGAAACTCTTGGAAATTATCCCATCACTGAAAGCTGACGACAGCCCTTTGGTCCTGTGCTGGTCTCTGTCACGTAAGCAATGGGGTCGAGGCTGCCTGTCCACAAGAGCAATGTGGTGATTCCTCAGGAGCAGTAGTGCTGATGCAGCCTGTTCTTAAAAACAAGGTGTGCTGTGGGGTGATGCTGTGCATATGTAGCGTGCATGTGCAGATACTCTGTGCTGTTTCCATGGTCAAAAGGGGCAGAAGATTGCATATGCTTCGTTTAGACGCTTCCTGACCTGCAGTTCAGAACCTGCCCTGAACTCTTTCCTTGATGAACTGGGTCTAATGGTCTATGATTTAATTTTACTGCAGATTAGATATTGACAACCTGTAACCGTTACTCTCTGCTGACACCCTGATAAATGTTTATGGCTTGATGTGTAGAATGTGAGATGAGCTGTCTTCCTTAACATTACCGTGAAAGCAGAAAATAAACCATTGGGGAGGAGATTATGGTGAACAGCATATCACTGTGAATGTTACCACATTGTGCTAATTAGATGTGGAAGTTGTGATGGTTTTTGTGATGCATATAAATAATTTGTTTGCCTTTCAAAGCTTTTGTGGAACAGATATCCTGCTGAGATTAAGCCATTTGCACAAATACAGAACAAAATATCTTGCTCTACTTTTCATTTCATGGTATTGAAAGCTAGTCAGGCACCTTTGTGTAGCACTGAGAAAAAAAAAAAAATCTCATATGAATTTTGCTGGATTAAATAGCAAATGCAACCCTTGGCATGAACATGTGGACTCATGGCATAAATGTGCACTCTGTTAATTGCAGTGGTGTTATGTAGATGGTTATATCAATCTCTAATGCAGCCAAGGGTTCAGGGATCCACTTCCCATAGGAGGAATGATGACAAGGAAACAAAACAACCCTGGAATAAAGTATCATATCTTGAGAGCTGTTCTCCAGACTGCAGAAAGGGGATAAAAATACTTTTACCTGGGTACTCCCTTTTCACATGTTCCTGGCAGTGTTGGAAAATATGTGTGATTGCTGCTTTGAAGACAACCTCTAAGGAAGTTACAGAAGGGGCGAACATCCATGCTCTGCTCAAAGGCAGCTCCCTTGATCTGGCACCTGCTGCCACCTCTGTGA